TGGAAATATAGGAGTTGATTATTGTACAAGTTATACGATAAATAATAATTGTTAAATAAATTTACCTTATTTAATATATTATTTAAGTGATCCAGACTTTGATTATAAATTTCTTGTTCTCTATCACCTTCTATTGCGTATTCATCATCTTCATCGGCATTGTTATCCTCTATTGCATAATCGTCTTCGTATTCAATAATTGACTCTCTAATCATTGAGATTTCTAAAATTTTAGCATTTTGAAAACAAAAGGGATTTACAAATTTGCCTTCATATGTAGCGATTATAGGATAATCTCTATTACGTTGAACCTACAAATTTGTAAATAAATAAATAAGTAATGAATAAACCAATTTATAATAGTAAATTACAATATATATTATATCTGTTTAAAAAAATCAATGTCCACTTCACCAACAGAATTAACTAAATGCCTGCATAAGAAAAATCTACTTTTCATATATGACAAGCATGTATACGTCCATTGATTCAGGTTTGTAGAATATAATTCTTTAGTATTAGAGGTTTTTTTTTCGAGCTTTCTCTATTTATACTTAAATTCTTTTCTTCATGGTACTATATAACGGCCCTGTTGCAATAAACAAATTTGGTGTAATTGTTGATTAACAACTCTTGTTACTAATCTATAACACAAATGATCAATTTGTGGCTTGTAAAATTTATACAAATAGTCATGCTTAATATGTCACCAATGCGACTTTATAATCATTGTCATTTTAATATGACTAATTTTACTATTTGTAGCTCGTGCCCACAAGATCTATCTTTTTTGACAATACCAATTATTCCAAAGATAGATTCAAAGATCGATTAAATTATTCTTTTTACAAAAAGAAACTATTTCTTTAACACAATCTTTCCATATAGCTTACGAACTCATATAATATTTACCATTAGACTTCGATAATAGTATATGTCAATTATAATGAAGTTCAACAAGATCAATAACTTGTTTTTTAAGGTTTGATAGACAAAAAACAAATATTATATGATTATTAGACCTTTTCCAGCAAGGATCAATGGTAGAACATTCTTGATATGCAACAATCGGATCATATGAATAATTTGAAATTGGTTGGTTTGATGCTATTCTTTGTTTTATCGTTTATAAAATATGCCAGGGGCATAACTGTAAACATACATTTGGCTATACTTTCTGAGTTGCATTTATTTCACTGAAGTCTTTATTCATCAAAATAAAAGAAAAATTTACCAATTGTCTATCTTTTAATTCACTTATCTATTGAATTAAAATTGTTATAATATCACTGCTTTTTCCTGCAGCAATTAACAGGTAGCTTATAAGAAAACCAGTTCTATCGATCACGTCTATAATCGCATATAATTCCCATCCTATTTTGTTAGTGCCATAAGTTGCGTCTATTTGAATTGCATCAAAATTATTATGTGGAAGCTAATAAAAAAGTACAGCAAGAAATCCAAGAGCTGGTGTTGGAGTAGTTATATCAATGATAATTTCCTGATTATATTCATTCAATAAAAGTTTTGTTGATATAAAAAGATCAGAATTGCGATAGTACATTTTTTGGAATTCTTTTGACCACCAAAAATATGTTTGTTGAACTGTAAGATTTTCATATCCTTTGAGTTGTTTTTCTCTAATTTGT